GAAGGTTATTGACCAGTATTGTACTATGTATAACTAGCCCGAGCATATTATTCTGTTGTAATGTTATACTTGCTGCTGCTCCACCTCCACCTCCTGCAGCTGGCTCCAGTGGCTGTTGTTCAATCATTACAATTATAGGCATACCAGCGATGGTCTGGCTCTGACTGTGGCCCAATTCATTGATGCGCCCAATACATGAATGCGATAAATCATCAGAGGAATTCAAATGAATTCCCTCCATGAATTTCCTATTCGGAAATCCAACAGGAATTAAGGCCAGGCTATACTCTAATTAAATATTCCTTCTTTTATAAATATCCCAATTATATGTTAATTGGTTGATTCTATGCTGCCATTGTGCTGCATTCTATACAAGTTTGCAATTATGTGAATTTTCCATTCCCCAGAAACCTAAAAAAAACATTCGTAGCAAACAATTTTTTGCCAATACACGAAACCCGCCTGCAATTGTTGCACATTTCTCTCTCCGTTTGTGTGTGCCCATCCTGTTCTTTCAGCATTCTGTTCTGCTGCATTCAAGAGATTGCGGTTAAACATGCAGCAGCAGCAGCAGCGCAGCAGCAGCAGCAACAGCAACTGCAACTGCAACAAAAAGTGGCAAACAAACAAAGACCAAGAACGCAGACAGAAGTGGGGGAATCCATAGGGGAATATTTAAGGCCCATGGCCCAAACACGCAACGGGCCATTCTGAGACCGAAACGGTAAAATGCGTGCTCGGATGGGACCCGGCCCAGGTCCCAGAATCTGAATCTCCGACCTCACTATGGTCGTCTGTTGGCCATCCCACTCCTGTGCCCGCTCCCAGAAATCGACTCCGAGGCAATGACAGTGCCAGCAGCAAGGTGAGGCTCGGTGAGGCTCGGGGAGGCCCGCTCCGCTGTTGGAAACTTTTGCTTATTTAACTGTTATTTCTTTATGCAGACGACAGAGTCAGCAACGGCAGCTGGAACAGCTTTTCATTTTTAACTGCTAGACGTGTCTCAGTAGTTTACTGTATCAAAGCTGAGCGAGCGCATGTGCAGCAGAAGCAGAAGTAGAAGCAGAATCAGCGGCGGCAGTAGAATCAGCGGCAGCAACACCTTGCCCCGGGGCCAGAGATTGTTAGCCCGATTATCAGTCAGCCAAGCAATCGACTCGACTCCATTCACAGTCTCACTGTCAGCATCTCCATTTGTCCGTAGATGCAGAGCGCAGTGCTATGTGTATCTGCCGCCGTGTCTCTGTGTATCTGTGCTGTGCTCTCGAGTGTCTGCGTGTCGCCATGGGTATTGAAGTATTGGTGTGTAGCGTCGTCAGCGGCACAAGTGCATTTCACTTCTGCTTCAGCGCGTATTCTTGCAGGAAATTAATGCCATTGAACGATGCTCTTCTGACGGCGTGGAGGCCTGTTGCTGCCTACTTAAGGAGCATTTAACGTAAGCGGATTTATGTGAGAGGTTCAGCTGAGCATCTCATTAGCATGTGGGTGCCGACTGCCTGTGAAGAGGCTGCTGCTGCCTATCCTATACCGATGATGATCAAGCTGATTTCCAACTTACTCAGAAGTTTGCCGTGTCCGTGTCCGTGCCCCCAACCCACAACAGTTGCATGATGATGCTGATGCATCGTCATAGTTGCCTCAAATGTATGCGCATAACGGTGCAGCCAAAGACGCGTAATTGATTTGTCATTCGTGGGGTCACTCGAAACGCAACCCAATTGGAGAGCTAACTGAATGGGCAAACAAAAACCGTACAACCCAATTCGATAATGCATTTTAAATGAACAGACAGACAGACAGCAGACATTTGGTCAAGAATCGAATTGACAGTCCGGGCAACGGGGGTCAGAGGGCAGTAGTCTCGTCAACGTGTTATTATTGACAAATGAAAATGTCAAAATGAAAAATTAACTGCAAATCAACGGCTAAAACAGCAGCAACACCAACAATTGACAATGGAAAATGTCAAAATTCACGAGCCCAACAAAAGTGTAGAAGAGGTAAGAGGCCATGCCATGCCATCATGGGAGACTGCGCCTGGGACTGGCCAAATGGGCGTAATGGAGCCGAAGCCATCCACCATCCAACCAAAAGTTGCATGTTACAAGAGGCGCGCTAGTAAAACGGTCAGCCAAATTGACACGCCAGCAGCAGGAAAGGCGCTCCAGCAACACGAGCAGCAGCAGCAGCAGCAGCAACAGCAGCAGCGCCGCACCACCAACTACATACAACAGCCCACACCAACAACAATGTTGGTGGCATGCCTGTCATCGATGGCCAGCGAATGCCGGCACTCAAATAGCGCGACATTTGAATGCGAGTGCCGCCGTGTTGGTGTTGTTGCTGTTGCTGTAGCTGTTGCAATGACCACTTGATAAATGATAAATTAATCGAGTATTGCCAAATGGCATAGTTGCACCCATAGAATGCCCTAAGTGAATGCCCACCAGTGCACTGGTTGATGAGCGAATCTCGGACAAGCACCCGCCAGTATATTGTAATCAATGAGAGAGTTTTCACTAGAACACGGCCGATTTTTCTCGATTACAACCTCAATGAAATGATAAATGATAAATTAATCGAGCAATCAAAGGCCATAGTTGCTGCCATGGAATGCACCAAGTGAATTGCCACCACTGTCCGCTGTTTAATATGTCAATGTGACATATTTTGCTGCCATTCTTCGCCAGTTTGGAATCCCACTGTAAACGGCTTCATTGGCAATGGCAATCGTCGTACAACTCAACGACCATATACATTGAGTATACCATAGAATAGGTATCTTCCGTTCATCAACAACATCAACTCTTTGAGCTCGTACTCCCAGCTATGCTGTTCCTCCAAAGAGCATTCAAATTTCGTTTTATCTCACTCGAATATCATTAATATTTTGGTGTTTTGGCACTTGAATCGCTGACAGTCGGCGTAGGAAATCGCTTCGAAGCATCGAGTGTCGCAATTTTCGGCATGCCTCGTCTGTGGGTCACAAGGACGTCGTCTCTGGCAGACACAAAAAATTGTACAATCTAAAATTGGTCGGAGACTTGCTAACGCCTGCGAGTGACCAACTTGTTTGAGTACTTTTCTGTTTGTCCGTTTCTCTCCCTAGTCACTGCTGCAATTAGTGAACTTGCAAATAAAATGTCGTATTAGTTGGGGCTCTTAAATTATGGCCGCTTTGTGCTGGATAACTCATTTTAATTAGTTGGAAAATAGGAAACTGAAAGTAACAGAAAGTGCTTGGCCTATGGATGAATATGAAATTTATGCGAGTATAAATTCGGATTCACAAAATTTCACCAGAGACTAAGCCAAATGGTCAGCTACCGGTGGATAAGCCAGATTTAAGCCAGAAGTATAAATAAAAACATTGATACACAAATATTTGCATAACACTTGATGTTTTCGGTTGATTCCAAGGTAATAGAGGTAAAAGCAGCAGCAACACCAGACTCCATTTGGTTAGATGAGCACAGACACCGATACACACTCCACTCCAGTCCACACACCACATAGCACTCCAGCAATCGTAGGTACAAAGACACATCCAGATCCAGAGACCTGCTAAATGTTGCTTATTTTCACAGGGAAAACAAAATCAACAGAAATGCTAAATTGTTTAATTGAATTTACCGCAGATGCGCTTAAGTTGCTAGTAATTTAGCAAAGCCATCTATTCCCTATTCCCCATCTACATACAACATACTACAACATATGTATCTGTAACTTTGTGGCATCTATATCTGTATCTGCATCTGTGTCTGAAGCTGTAGCTGTATTTGCAGCGTAACTTGTAGTTGCCGAGACGTGCCAGACTCTCCAGCACATGGGCTTGATTGTCGTCACAATACAAATAGAGCAGCAACAATGCCACAACAGCAGCAGCAGCAGCAGCAGCAGAAGCAGCATCAACGAGGATAACCATGGCACAGTTGCGGTGCAATGAAATGTATCTATAAGTTGCTGCACATGTGTATCTAAATGTGTTAGAGTTACTGTATAGTGTGAGTTCTTTGTGTGAATGTGTGTGGCTTCTTCCTGTAACTATGCATTAAATTGAAAACGGCAAAGAAAGTGCTCCACAGACGCCAGTTGCTGTTGCTTGGCTCGGAGTTGTTACTGGGTTCTAGATTTCTCCCAGGCCCAATTATGCTGCTCGTGTTGTGTTGTGTTGTGTTGTGTGCTCGAGTGTCTCTGTGTGCTTTCCTTTCTCAATTGGACAGCAATGCGGACTGTCCATCTGTCCCGCTGTCTTGCTGTCTCTCCACAGCATTGCTCAATGGCCGACCGATAATGCTGTTGATATTTAAGATGCCTGCGAGGGTACAACCTCATAAGCTGGATGTCAGAGTTCGTCGCGATTTGCATGCCAGAAGTTGCACAAGCCTATGGCTTTTGTAATGTTAATTAATTTGTGTGTTTGATTTTGGGGCCCAGAGCGCGCTTCTATTCTATGGCTATCATTAGTTAACGGTTAGCCGTCGAAGGCCCATTCAATGACCAGCGAATGTTGGGCAAGTTGACACCTGAACTGACTTCTGTTTTTACCTTTTACCGCTTTGAGTTGGTTCGTTTTGGTTTGGTTCGATGTCTGGTGGCTGCTGGCTGGTAGCTGGTAGTTTGGTGGTCTTGTGGCTTGGAAGATCTTGTTCGAACTGCAACATCTGCCTCATCTGCCGAATCGTGTCTGGGAGCGCTCTTATCTAAGAGCAAAGCCACCGTCTCGCGCGCATGCGCAGCCGGTAAACTCTCTTACGATCGAGCGCTCGATCTCTCCCTCTCTCTGACTCTCTCTCTCTCTCTCTCATTTTGTGTCTCTCTGCAATCTGCTGGGCGTCTTGACCATTTCTGTGCTTTGAGAGTGTGTTTGTCCGTGTCTGTTAACTCTTTGGTTGGAAGCCTCTACATTTCTTTTTTGGCCAACTTCTTGGACTTTCTTGGCAACATGTTTAAAAGTCTTTTGGAAGCGCCAACTCAACGTTCAGTTCGCTGTGAGCGCTTACAGCGTTTGGTGCGTTTTAACGGAAGAACCAGTGCCTAGCCTAACGAACCAATCCATTAACCAGAGCCCATCAACCACGAACCACGAACACACAAACGAACAAACAAAAAACCAATCCACAGCCAAGCTGAATTAAACTAAAGGATATAATCCATGCGCATGCGATGCGATTATACATAAAGCTCGTCTACAGACATCAAAAGTTGTGCGTGCAATGAGCCGTGATTCGAATGTGGCACGATTTTAATTAAATCGCCAGTTATTAAAAGAGTTGAAACAAAACAGTTGAATTGCATTCCATTGAACGGGAAACCCGCAACAGGGACACACACACCCATACGCACACCCACCGACGAGCAAACAGCGCGTTGCACGTTGCACGGTGCACGGTGCAAACTTGCATCCACATCCACATCCATATTCATATTCAGTGCGCGCGAAATTCTTTCCGTTGTTCCTGTTTCAGTGGCTGTCCTTGTCGTATTGTTTATGGATTTGTCTGCTTTTGCCATTCATGAATTCCTTCTACTCCAACACGTAGCAGCGGCATCAACAGGTAAGCCTTGCATTCCGCCAGGATTAACTTTGCTTAAAATGTTGTTGGAACAACTAAAGCGACAACGGTCAGGGCAGGGGCTGTAGCTGGGCGCTGGGGGAAACCAAAGCTCCTGGCCCGCAATCAAAGCCACTGCAATGCCAGGGCCAAGCTCCTGGCCTGTATCCGGATCCGCATTCGCTGCCATCCACATCCGCAGTCAAGTGACGACAAAGCGGATTACCATGAAAATATTTACAAGCTTTAAATTGTTTCCCTCTATCTGTGGATGGGTTGGCGATGTCCTTTCATACATGGCACATAATTGGCATTGGCCACCTTAATGGGATGGGATGGATTGATCTGGTGATCTGTAGAGATGCTGCTGCTCTGCTACTGCTGCCACAGCGGCCACAAGTGAAAGAATGAAATGAAAACTTGTCTTTAATTAAGGAAAAGGAGCGGAAAAGAAATGAGGTAGACTTCAAGCCAGAACCAAGCCAAAGCCAAAGCCACAACCCAAACCAAAGTAAGACAAAGCGGGGCAGCAACAAGACCACGGGGCAGGCGCATAAAAAGTCAACGGCAACAGCAACAGCAACAGCAGCAGCAGCAGCAGCAGCCGTAGCAACAACAACAAGTGCAGCAAAAACAAGTACCACACACAGATACAAACAACACACAAACACACACACACACAACACACAGAGTGAGCGGAGAGAGAGAGAGAGAGACGGATACCACACACGTGTAACTGGAAACAAGTTGAAATGCCTCGACTACATTTGGTCAAGTTTACATGAAAGCAATGGACAGGCCCAAAGCCAAGAACTGTTCTCCGACTCTTGCCCAGAGGCAAGTTGATGTCGAAACGGGCGTTACCCGGTAGAGAGCGAACGGCGGCAATGTGATTTTAATGAACTACTAAAACCTAAACCCCAAACAAACATAAACCGACTTGACTCCCGTCTAAGATTGCATTATGGGCCCCCCCTCCCTTGAAACAGCAGCCACAGTGGAAAGCCTGGAAAACAATGCGGCAATCGGTTTATGTTTATGCAAGCATCCAGCCACCTTTTTCCAAATCCCACTGTCAGCTGTCCGTCGGTGGACATTATACTCAGCTCTGGCCCATGGCCATAGCCAGAGCCAGAGCCTGGTAAGAGACTTAAGCCGACAGCCGCCAGTGCACAAAATGCAGAACACTTTGAGTTACTTTCTAAATAGCATTTTACTCAGTCGCAGTCCGCTGTTAGCAGTCCGCAGTCCGCAGTCGCACTCCCAGTGGCTGCCTCCCAGCCACTGGCTGGCTGAGATTAGTGCAGTTACTGCAGTTGCATCCACAGTTGCCGTTGTTCTTATTGCGGTTGCTGTTGCTGTTACTGTTGCGGTTAAATAAATAAAGCAGCGTGACTCCAATGGCTCAGTCGCAGCTTTGGTCTCAGTCTCCCAGCCATTGGCGTTGACTTTGGTACTTCTTGGCAAACAAGAGATTCCACGGCAGCAACAATCAGCTGCTGCGGAGCACAGATGATTTAGAAATTATAGATGCGTTCACTTCGTTCCAGCCCACTTCCTTCTGGCCTGGCCCAATTAGCAGCGGTCTCGCTCTCCCCTTTCCAAGAACTGCTGCAGGCCAAAACTTAATACAAATATACGTAAGCTCTCAACTGATTGAAGACTGAGAAGTTGAGAAGCCTCAGCATGGCGTTCCGTCTCATCAGACACTTTGGCAATCATATCTTAGCCACGATAGTCCTGATTATACCTCCGTAAGCTCGCTCACTGTCCCTGCTTCCTTGCCGAGTAAGAGTATGAGCCAAGACTTGGCTTAGCTGTTGCATAAGCAGCTGATAAACTTGCACGTAGCCAGCTTATGGCGAATGAGCACGCCAGCAACATTAAAAACTGCTGCATTTTAATTAATCAAGCTAACAAACGGAGGCAGTAGCAGCAGCAGCAGCAGCAACAGCATCAGCATCAGCAGTGGCATCATCTGTCAACAACAATGCGCGCCACAAACTAATTACATGCTACCCGGTGGCGTGGATGCCTTGAGAGGGGAGGGGAGGGGATGGCAGTACTCAGCCAAATCCTAAAACCAACACTATGCGGGCGGGCTCATCGTTGGAAGGTTTGCATGCGATACGACTGTGTATGTGCGATTACCAAATTAGATTTCTGTCTAATTATGGCATTGGAGCTGCAGCACAACAAAACTCGAAGAAATTGCAACTGAAATGAATAGTCTCGTTCGTGGCAGGCACAAAGTTTGCTCAAACGACGACAAACAAAACTCTGGCCAAAGTCAGAAGAACTGCGCTTTGCTCTGGCTCTGGCACTGGCTCTGGCATTGGCTCCGTCTCTGGTTCTGATTCAGTTGCTGGCAGAATACAGCACTTAATAATAATTAAATAATTTTCGCCAATTATAGAGCCAGCACACGCACACAGCCATATAAATGGGCTTGGCTTAGTCACTGCATCTGTATCTTTATTTGCGTCTGTGTCTGTGTCTGCCGTATCTTTATCTCTCCCCCATTTTGGGCGGCTACTGTGCGGCTGTGTGTGTGCCAAACTAATAAATAAGATTGCTTTTAATTAAGAAAAAGAAAATTGTTGCTGCCATCGAAGTTGCACAGCAAAAGTTGCTCCAGTCACAGTCACAGTCCCAGTCCCAGTCGCACTCTCTGCCTCAGATTCAGATTCAGATGTAGATGGAGTTTCAGCAAGAAGCCAGCGATTGCAATTGCAGAACAATGTTTAACTTCGGCCAAAGACAATGCAAAGAGCGCTCAATGATCTTCTCCATCCTAGTCCTACTCCTGGTCTAATAATCTTATGCTAGTTCAATTTAATTTGTAATTGAATATGGAAACATTATTCAAATGGTAATTAAACACAAATCTTAGTAATTATTCGGTATAATAGGATTTCTCGTTCCCCTCTCGCTTTACAGTTCTGGCATTAATTTTGGCCCCAGAAGTTTCATCCAGCAGGCAGCCAGGCAGGGCCTTTGCTCTGCTGCTGCATTCTGATGGCACAATTTCCCGTGGCAAATTTTGTAGTCACCTGCAGCTTTGCAGCCAATGAAATTGGGTTCTTGGTCGTCAGTTGCACGGCACTCATAGGGACGGGTTAATTTGAAAGCATTTGAAAGTTTTTGACGCCAGTTGCCGAGTATTTGGGCTTCGGTTGGGATACGGCTGAGTAGGAGTAGGAGTTGGAGTCGGAGTCGTCTCGCTGCCAACAGCAAAATGCAGAGGCATCAACGTCATGGCCTGACGTTGACTTGTGGCCATATTGCTGGCAGTACGAGTACAGTACACCCATTGCACACCCCCGATATGTGGCACATGTCATGGGAACTTTCGGTGAGCCAGCCAGCCAGCCAAAGTTGTGCAATCATGGGAGTGAAATATTTTACTTTGTTCATTGCAAATTTATTAATAAACATTTTTCGCAGTCGCTCGGCTAACGACACGACGGTGAGCCAGAGCCGGAGCCCCCCAGCACCCCTTGTCGGCTTCTCACTTGGCGCTGCGGAATTTTTAATTTAATTTATATATTGGATTGGTCGAGAGGAGCTCGACTTGCGTGCATTGCCAAGTTCTGCTTCTAGACGGCTTGGCCTTTGGCTGGCCAAAAGAGCTGGCAATGTGATGCGAGACACGAACGCCGAAGGAGAACCGGAGCCAAAGAGGTGGAAGCGGTTGACCCGCCTTTGTTGTCCCATAATAATTTCATTTGTGTAGTACAAGTGGAGATTCGGAATAACTCATGCGCATCTGTGTTAATATTATGCCAGTCTCTGCTGTCGGACTGCCATTGCCACTGCCACCACCCCTACCCAGCCGAAGGAACCCTTTTTGCAGGCAGCCCAACACCAGCGAGCCGGATGACTTTGAACTTTTGACACATTTGGCAGTTGGCTGTCATAGTTTGCCATGGGGTAATAGGTCACTGGGGAATTCATGCTCGGCTGCTGGCACCAAGTCCATCCCTTTTCGGGTGGGAAACAGGAGCTCTTCGGCTACATAAATTCTTTATGCCTCAAATTATGAGACTTGACCCATAGCCCTGCCCAAACAAACAAACAAACAAGCAGATAGACGAACAGACAGGCAGACCTGACACACCGAAAATCTCACAACAGACAGACAGACAGACAGACATACAGACAGATTGTGTTTTGCATTTTGTAATCGGTGGACATGACTTGAGATGCCCATCTGACCTTCAGTGGGAGTAGCACTTCTGCTAACAGTGTTATTAAGCCTAATTAAGCGGCTTATTCATCTGGCGCACTCGTCCCAAGCTTCTGCCCCCCAATCCACTGACCACAGGCCACATTTCATCATGTCCATCCACACAACGCCATTAACGCCCATCGAACACACAATCGCTGGCTGAATGCCACAATTTATTTTGTATCACATTAAGAGGGAGCAGCGAGCAGCACAGCACATAGCATAGCATATTCATTCCATTGTATAAATGTTATATGGTTTACAATAATATGTATAGTATATTAATAATAACAACAAAACGCAGCCCTCCACGGACAACAGAAAATTGGATGAACGTTTTTGCTATTTTCTTTATCAGCATTTATGCAATCACTTTCACAAAATACAAATTGAATTGCCATTGCCATTGGCCATTGGCCATTTGCCATTTTTATTTCCATTTCTACCACACGGACAAAAAGCAAACAACCAGATAGATGGAGGGAGGGAGAGGAAAAAAGTATCGGAAAATGTAATTAATCATTGTGCAAATATTATTCGCTCTTGTGCACCCGACTTTAAAGCATTAATTGAGAATTTCATTTGCTACAAACGGTGCGTGTCAGAGATAGCACTCAACTCATCCGGGATGATTAATTTGTTGACCCTTTGAGCGGTGCATTTAGTGGCAGGATCCGACGACCTGACCATCGCATTCATGAGTTGGTCAATCAGCACTTAAGAGCTTTTTCGAGCGGCCGCTAACAATATGCTGCTCCTGCTACTGCCATAATCCATTAGAAAAAGTAGCAAATTATGATTTATTGCACTTTTCCCGAAGAGTGGCAAAAATTTCATGAAAGCCACAAAGTGTGCGAGCGCTCCAAAGCATGTTCCGTTGAAAGGAGACCAGAGAAGGAGCCATGGAAGCAGAAGGCGCGCAAAGAGAAGTAGGAGAAGGAGAAGAAGGAGCTGCGGCTGCTCATAAAAGGCAAACAGAAAAAAATAAAAAACTCCTAAGTAGCATACGAAAATGTAAAACTCTTGTAATGACGGTAAACACCCCACTCCGCTCTGCATATTTATGGGTCTGGGAAAAGTTTCTGCTTCTGTTTCGGTTTCGGGTTCGTTTTTGGTATATTAAGTATACACCCCACTGGTGCATTGATGATGTCGCTGCATTTGAGTGCAACCCCGACTCCCGTCCCCAATTAGAGCTCTATTTACGGATAGGGTATGACAGACCAAATCTCAGGTCTAAGGTCGCCCCAATCCCAATTATACGCACCAGCAATGTGCGTGTTTTTGATCCGTCTCGAGACTTGTGTAATTCCATGCTTAACGAGCACACAATCGGGTCTTGGCCTGGCCTCTCAATTTGGACACATTACTAGCAGATGATGGGCTGGCCAAGTATTAGATTGGTACACACCCGCGGCATACAAAGCCAATGAAGCGTCAGCTGAGCATCGGCTTAGTTAATAACTTTGACCGAAATACCAGAGACCAATAACCGAAAAGTAAGTGTCATTAGCATATATACTTAGCACAAGAACCTGTTTCCCTCTGTCACTCTTTGTTGTCTGCTGTTAGAGTGTTCCAAAGAAAAGAAAAGAAAATAAAAGAAAGGCAGGGAAAAGAAGAGCAGCAGCACCAGCAGAGCAGCAGCTGTATGGAAATGGGTCAAAAAGTTTCCCATTGATTGAATTTCATTTCAATTAGCACATCCGAAGCGATGAGCAATATTCGCATATATGCAATCAACCATTTTTATGGCTGAGAATCAAGTGCCTCTCCGCTAGATTGATGTCTCAATTATGGCTGCTCCAAAGCCGTCAAGAATGCAGCTCGAAACGGGCACAAATTGAATGACTTGGCAGGCATAAAGCAAAAAAGAAACAGAAACAGATATACAGACGGAAACTGAAGCATTGGTGGCGGCGATGAATGCCATGGCAGCTGGCGAAAGGCGCATAATAAACCATAATGACAAAATTACTATATTTAGTATGCTAAAAATCGGTCAAAGTGTCAGTAGGTTGTCCACCACAGCCACCAAAGCCACCATAGTCCGCCTTCATTAGCAGGCAGCACACGGACAGACAGACCAGACACAGACAGACAAACCGATGATGATTTTGCTCTCACTTTGGCCAAAACGCCTGCGCCAAGCAACATGATATTGCAATTTTTGGCATTAACTTCTTTTCACCTGAGCGATGAGTCTGCGACTCTTAGCCGCCTCTTAGCCACCACTTCAAGAGCATGTCTAGGCCAGGCATCTGCTTCTGCTTCTGCTTCGGCTTCTGCCGTTTTACCGTGCGTGACCGAGACATGAAAAATCACCCGTTTCCGCACCTCTCTCCAGCGTTTACCATTCGTGTCGTGTTGCTTCTCCCTCTAGCCGGGAAACTTTCATTTTTGCCGCTGTAGAATATCAATGTACAATGGACATAATAAAAAGCGTATCGAACACATCAATAGGTTATTGGCATATTTGTGCGGATTTCTGTGGTTGTTGTACTTTATAGCGCTTTGTTTGTTTCCCCATTCATCGCTCTGCTCTCGAGTGGGCCCAAGCGACTCAAGTTGATTGCTAGAGCTCCTCGACGTCTTGGGCTTCCCATCGACGTCTTCCCCTGGCGGCTGCTGCTGTTGCGACTTCAAATGTCTGGCCTGTGGTGTATATTTTGACGCGCTCTGAGAGAGTGTGCTCTTGAGGGCTGTAAGCACCGTAATTACTAGAAGCTTAGAGGACCGCAAACAAGGCAGAAGCCGATCAACATGTGTCGCATTGCATCTGGCTGCATCTCCCAGTCATCGTCAGTGCGTGGCTTTAACAAGGGCACTTGGCGGGACTTACACTCAGAACAATAGCAGAGGATGAACTAAAGAGCCGACAAGGCTACCCCCTAAAGTGGTCCAGAGCGCAGAGAGCCAATTTCGGCAAAGAAAACAAAATGAAACGTATTCGAGCCTTTGAATCGAGTGCCCGACGCACAGTGGAACCTCAGCCGAAATCAGTTAGCCAATTTCAAAGCGCTTTGGATAGTTTGAAAACACGAATCTTATAGAGAATTTTTTGAGCTTTAAAAAAATTCAAACTTAAATTTCGTATAAGGTTTTCCAATTAGAAAATATGACCATTCAACGTGGATAATTTTTTCAGTACTGCCTCTTTCAGGTGGAATAAAAAATAAACTATGAAACACACACATTCACCGAATTTGGAGATGATTTTTGGTACAAACTGAAAACTACGCATTCAGGTGACCTACATAAATAAACTATGAAACGTATTTTTCTAGGATTGTTTTTATTAGCTGTATTCAATTTCAAAATAATTCAAAAGATGAATAAACCAACCCTTTTATTATATTTTTGTAATGCTTGTAAAATTAAATTCGTCTAAAAATTAAATATGTAAAAACATATGTGTATACAACTATTATGTATAATTCAATTGAACATGAAATCTTCATATCGATCCAAAAAATAAATAAAACTTAAGCCAAAGAGAACAAGGTAAAAATTTTAAAATGTATCGTAAGCCTTCTAGATATTGTTAAATTGATTAATTTTGTAAACTGAAATGGATATACCAAGTACTCACACTTTTCTGTAAACTAGAAAATTGCGCTCGCTCTTGTTCCGAAAGTTAGAAAGCACATATGTATGGATATCTAACCATACATCCAATATACATATACATACCAGTATGTAAGAACTATTGAGTATAGCTGCGTAAACTGAGCATGGCATAAGTATACGAGTACACAAAAGACTTGAGTCCAATAGCTCTAATAGTCTTTGAGATTCGGAAACACTTCCTTATTCCGACTGCAACCACCACGAACAGACAGTATTCCCGCAAAAATACTTTGAGAATACTTTGCCAGGTATCCAAAGAACGAACACTTTGCTACAGATCTGGACACAAAGACACACACACACACACACCGAATTTGGAGATGATTTTTGGTAACGTTATAAAAATTGAAAGCTACGCATTCAGGTGACCTACATTTGCAGCTTGCCAGTTCCAGCCTCAGCTCCAGCTCCAGCCCCAGCCGCAGCTCCAGCCCCAGCTCCAGTCGTGGCTTCTGGTTTGGCATCAAGTTGATGTTGCTGTTGTTTTCGGTTTATTTTTGGGTTTTTTTTTTCTCATTTTTTTTTTGGCCAGGGGCTTGTTCTGTTGGCAGTCAGGTATTGGAACATGTCGGTCCCCCAGAAACAACGGCAGCAACAGTGTCTGGCCGTTTTATTTCTGCTTTGGGGCTCTCTTTTTTCGTTTTTGGCATGAAATCAATCTCTCGGCCATGCCCGAGCAACTTAAGTATTTCAATTCTTGTAATTTTGTTGGTTACTTTTTCCGTTGCCATTGTTTGTACACAAGTTGAATTTTAAATAAAAGATTTGACGCTTTCGTTTGCTCCGAAGAATGCCGCAGGCAAATGCGATTTTATTGCCGCCCACCTTTTGTGCCCCTGGCTTTGTTAATGTCATTATTAACTTTTGGCGATTCCTTCATTGAACTTCAATTAGCAACGACCCAGCAGGGCCGCATTTCCGCCGGCACTTCAACCAACTCCACTCCCCACCGATGCTTCCATTCATCTGCTTTCCGCCTTTTTTTTTCATTTTTGGGAAAGTGAAGCAATTAAAATTTAATTGCCATGCCAATGAGGAGACAGCAGACAGCGCCCGACCATCGATTGGCACGTGCAGAGCCAATTGACAGGGCCTAATTATGTTAAGCAGCCGCAAAACTTACTTATTCACTGCAAATTACTTATATTCCACTTAATTAATTTACTCCCCCCTCTTCACAGGTAACCCACTTGTGGAGATGAATGCGCGGCTAGCGGTCTAGATTTATTTGGTGAGTGATAACACAGCGTTACATATTTAAATTAAAAAGCTGTCTGATGTAATTTGAATTGTCATTTTATACTGATGGTCTGTCTATCTTTCCACACCGACATAATCGCCTGGCAATTCAATTTGTATTTGAGTAGAATTTAGTAGAATTATTAATTAAATTCATTTATAATTAATTCCAAAGTAAAAGTAGAAGGTCGGACTTAGCTTTAGTTTAAGAAAACCTATTGCAAGGCTTACCAATATAATGAGTATATATATTTTAGCACTAAATAAATTCAATATAATAATCTAAACAGCATTTGTCATCAGACTTTAAGACCCCCTTCCATGGGATGCTCAAAATAAATACTTTATAATATTTAAACTCAAAAGTTCTCTGCTTTTGTTAAATCTATCCGAACACCGCTTAGATTTAGGCAAAATGGCAGCTGTTTAGGGGATTAGCTTAAGCCCCCCAGCTGGTTTTTTTTATTTTTCATAGTAACTCTATGCTTTTTCCCGCACACTCGTAAATACTCATCTGGGTCCAGAGTCCAGGACCCACAGGCATCCAAACATAAAAAGGCACGGTAATAGAGAGAGAGAGAGAGAGAGAGAGCTGCAGTGTTGCACGCCCCAATGGGTATGCAGGTTTGACATGTGGCAAAGTGAAATTTATTGCTAATTCAAACTGCCAAAACTTGGAAAATTGTATTGAAAAGCAACGAGCACGAGCTCGGCCAACCAAATTATTTCGAATGTCAACGGCAAAAGTACACGGGCTGCCAGCTAACGCTTGCTACCATCAAATGCAAATAAAATCAAATATACAGCGCACACAGAAACGGCACGGACCTTATAGAGAATACGAGTATCTATCCTGCAGCAACATCAATGGCAACAGAAACAACAACAGCAACAGCAGCATCTGCAACAACAATCAACAGGGCGAGCTGCCAAATGAAATGTTAGAGAAAATCAAACAATTTTTGCTCATTGAGCTTTTAAGCCGCTAAGGGCAACCAGGAGAGCAGGCGAACGTCGGAGCGGGGTCGAGCACATGTCACTTTTCAGATGCTTTGATGTGCGTCGACAAAAAAAAAAACACAGAATGGCGACTGTCATAGCTCTAAACCACTCCGCCCATACTCCGCGATACCAGCTTTATAGGGTTCGTTCGCTGTCTATTTGTTTGCATGTAAAAACCGCTCATCGATACCCATCAATGGGATTGAAATGTTCGAAATATACAGAGCGCGAAGGTCCAGTCTGAGGGCCTGAACCGCAGCGCTTTTCCACTCGTCTGGTTCAACAAAGAAACGGTATCGCTAGTCGCTACGTGGTTGGGAATATTCTATAAAATGGGGAACTTTGGTTAACATTAAATTATTTTAAAGGGATGTCTACCGGCATTGGTTTATTCTGTGCTTATACTGTTTAATTAAAGGCCAATTAACAATAGTCTTTAGTATTTTAAAAAGAATATTCAGAGTAGTTCTATACATATATAGATTATAGATTCTTATAGCATAATACACCTTCTTTTATTACTACCGTTATTTGCTCCTGTCGAAAGTCTATCCAATCAGTCAATATGGGCTTTTTTATCTCAATCAAATAGTTTTTTCCATCATCCAATAATGAAACTTCTCTGCGAGTAACAAAAAGTAAATACTCGTACCTCTCCGAATATTTTTCTGTATTTCTTTTTTGGGCAAACAATTTCGAATTTGCGTTGAGTTCTTTGACGGAAAACTTTTCTGCAGCCGATCGAAAAAATATAGAAATCCCGACCATTCCATAGATTTTGATTGGATCAGCGGGAGAGAAATCCCAAAAAACAAAAAAACAAAACAGATGATAATAAAACAAAAGCTTCCGCAAATGGTTTGGAGGCAAAAGTCGAGTATTTGGCACACTCAAGCCGCGTATCCGGGCTAATGAAGCTATTAGGGGCGGCCCTGTTATTGACCATTGGCACATTGGGCCATTGCTGCCCATTGCTCTGTACGATAGTTGGCTCGGGACTTGTTGGCCCTTTTACGGCGCACGGGAAATGTCCGTTTTCCGCACCCAGCTACACCAGAACAAACATTTTTTACTTGATTTGGTCGGTGCCGACTGCCGACTGCCCACTGCGCACCCAGTCCACCCAGAGTGGGTGGGAAGGAGGTTCGCAAAGTTTATGCCAGTTGGTTGATTTCTGTAGCATTTCCGTTTTGTTTCATTTTAATTCTCGAACTGCTCTTTGACCATTTTTGATGGCAAGCGCACAAATACACACAGAAACGGAGAACGGGTCAGAGAGTCGAGTCTGGTTCGGAAAATGAAATAAAATGTTTGACTATTGGCGGAAGTGCGCCATAAGTTTATTTCTTGTGCGCCATTTTGTTTACATATTTCTGTGACTGTGTGTGTGAGTGCTGCACGCTCTTGGCAATGCCCGATTGCTTTTAGTTTTGGCCCTGTATTAGGTGTGTGTGTGTGTGTGGGCTTATTGGCCTTTATGCGCCATAATGTAACGGAAATTGTCCAAGTTTTTAAAGGCATAAATATTTAAGTCCAAACGGCTGCTCTGGCAAAACTGTTGCTGTCGCTCGCTAAATGTTCGCCTCCCAATCCCCATTCCCGTTCCCTTCTACTGTAAGCCAGTACATGTATGTACATGTGCATGTACATATGTATGTATGTATATTTATGTATTTGTAGCCATAGCAGCTGCTGGCAGCCATTAATATTTTTCAACTATTTGCATAAATTAATGCGAGCACACAAAATGTTGCCAAAATATTACCCAGTGCTCTCTGGTCCCTTGGTCCTTGACGCTCTTGCTGCAACTTATGGCCCAGTCCCTCCCACATCTGCATCTCTTACGAATGCATATATGTAGGGGCGTGGCATGTAGGTCAGATCAGCTCGGCTCAGAAGTGCTTCTGGCTTAAAGAGAGTTTTAATAGCGACTTAAAGCGCCATTGTTTGAATTTGAGTTTCGCATGCGCCAAATTTTAGCATATGAATTTGAAATGAAATTGCATATCAGCCGCAGGCACATAGTACATACATATGTATGCATGTATGTACATAACATTCCGTCGAAAACTTATCTATTGTGGCATATGATGGGGGATCCTTACAACAGGGTGCTAATTCACAATTCACATACATATGTACTTATGTATGCACATATACTCAAAGGGGGCAAGGTAAGTGCACTGGGGCAGCTGCTGCCGCATCTTTTTGATGCTACCCCAAAATGCATAATGTGCGCGACCAGGCATGAGAAACCCACTTGGAAGTGGCTGCGATTCCCAGACGAGCGCATAAATACGGAATTAATATAATCCCATTTACACTGAGCGAAAGCTAATTGCACTTTGTCTAGCTGGCAACCGCGGGCACAACTCTCCACTGATTTGCGTTAAATTTCTGGCTCAAATTTTTCAATTTTCATCCGCTGCTCCTAAATTTCGCCCAAAATGTTCGCATGAGAGATGGCTAGTGCGGATGGATCGGGGGCTGGTGCTGGGACTGGTGCTGGAACTGGTGCTGGATGGTAATTGAGTTTTTAGTAGCTGTTGGCGGTCCCACACCAACTCTTTGCGCCACTTAATAGCAAAGATGCGCATATAGGGCAACAACCAACACCAGTGCATTATTGTTGAAATTAACTATGTACCTGGGAGCACACACACACACACGCACGCATCCACGGGAATGCAGTGAAGTACGTGCATTGCTGCGTAGCCCCGAAAATCACGCTTGCCAGGCAACGAAATGCAAGTTAAAGTTCCAGGCCACAGACAGAAGGCAGGCAGGCAGGCAGGCAGGCAGGCAGCAGCAACGCGAGAGGCAGCGACAACCAAATCAAATTTGCACCAAAAACCAAAGGTAAACTTTGAGCGCTACTGGCGACCACACGCACATATGTATGTATGAACATCCACACACTCACACATACCCCTAGCCAGCACATACAAACACACAAATTCGCACGTCGCTTATTTGGTAATTTGCGTGAGTGCGAAAATGCATTGCGTGTTTGCCTAACATATGTATGTGAGTGTGTGTCTCTGTGTGTGCATTTCCTGCTGCAAAGTTCATAAACTTGTACACACACCTGAGCTCACAAGGATGCGAGGAAACACCCCCAGGCACAGGCAGAGGCATAGGCAGAGGCAGAGGACGAGGCAGACCACTGCGATAGCGCCTTAATTGAGTTATCCAGACATTTTTGGCAGCAAACTTTAAGCCCAAGTGCGGTCAGGATGCCAGTTCGCCCAAGTTCCTGTCTGTGGCACAATAAATTCGCATAATAAATGGGCCACCGTTTAACTGTGTCAACAGCAGACGGGGCTTGCATCACAGTCTTGGCCAGAGAGCTGTTAGGAGCAGCGGCAAAAGTGTAGACAAAAACTCAACATGACGGCACCTGCACCTGCAGCTGCTCTGGCTACGACTTCTTCTACATATAAAATGTTAAACAGCAGGCTAATGTCCAAAAAGATGCGCAAAAGTGGCCAAAGCGCGGCACAGGGTAGAGGACATGCGGTGGTAGCTTCTGCTCCTGCAGATCCTGAAGTCACTGCTGTTGACGTTGTCATTGCGACGTCGCCAGCAACAGCCGAGCGAACGGCGGAAATTATGCAAAATAGGAAAAGCTGCTTTGCCGAAACTGAAACTCAACTGCAGGCACTAAATTATGGTCCCCAGCAAAGCACTCAACTAAAAGGCCATGTCAATGCAGGTCAGCTCCGGAAGTACGATAAAAAGTACGATGAATGAGGGTCGCTGACAAAGGCTTCAACTGCAAGAGGCTTCAGGGATGATAGACAGATCTTAGTACAGCTAAAGGTGGGTGATATTTCTCACAGGAAATTGGTCTTCTACCTTTGGCAGCTCATCTGCGTGGCTGCTCTACTTAGCCGGGCAAAGCAATCACACCTATCTTGTTGTCCGCTCTCGGGTATGGTATGGGACGGGATGGACTGTGCATATGTCCAGGCCACAAATCTTCATAAC